GCTTCTCTATTAGAATCCGTGAATAAGTCTTTCAACTCTAACGATTCTAAAATGTTTTTTATGTTTTTTTTTTATCTTATGTTTTTTGATGCTTTGTGTCTATCTCTAAAAGGAAAGTGGAATATTTTCGGAAATTAATGTCGAATGCTCCAAAAAGACCTAAAGCATTTTAATAAACTTAACTTTCTTAAGAAGGGCTTTTCTTAAGCTACAAGTGAGGCGATTTGGATCGGGAAAAATGACTTTCTGAAAAGTTCAATCTTTTCAAACATTTTCACTTTGTGGGTTGTTGTAATACTTTAATTTTTTGTTTATTATTAATACTATATATTATTGAAAAACGCCATCTAATTTCTTCAAACGTTTCTTAATGTTACTGACATCTATTTTTTCTGTTCTCTTATGACCTGACACAAAAGTCATTATACTTTACGATAATACTCTATAAATTCCCACTATTTGATATTCTACAACACCTTAACTATTCATATCTGCTCTAATTTAGCTCTCCACACAATTAGGATTCCAGCTGAACCTAAACTAAATGTATCGTCATTCTACCGTCGCTCTTGAAACTTTATTAAGAGGAAAATCAAACATAGTAACCAGCTTAAATACAGTCCACTCAGTTACATATAATTTTTAGTCGCTTGGACCCCAGATTTTCTAACTGATAAAGTTTGCATTATCAACAATAAGTTTGTAGTAGCCGGTACGATACGTTTTTCTTGCACTTAGATTGCGTTCATTTTATCTCTTACCTCTCGGTCGCTAGCGCAGTACTCGCCCTTCAGGTAAACATTTTTCTTCTCATAATTGATAAAAAAAATATATTCTATGTATTCAGATTTTGATCCCCCCCTTCCCCCTCTCTCTATCTCACTCATTTTAATTGGTTGATTTCATTAGACATAAAATACAATTATTTCTCTTACACTCGCTTACGCGTTAAAAATAAACTTGCTATAAATCTATAACTACTTATAAGCTCCCTTGAGCAGTAAAACTATTGCAAAAAGAAACATTAGTAGAGTGGTTAAATTAAAACCAATTGTTCTTGAAAATCAAAGTGAACCTAGTGCCCATACACATTTTTAAATGCGTTTCAAGCATATCGACGTATTTCTCGAGGATTTCGAACGGCAACACTGCTCTATTGCAACTATTTTTGACCATTGTTGAAGAAGGGAGACTAGAAGAGCACAATGCCATTCGAAAAAAGTTCAACGACGACTATTATGAAATTCAAGCAATTTATTCCGAATTATTGGATGATAGGTAGCCTAATACTCGTCAAATTAGAACTGATTCTTATCGTAGTCATGCGCGTTTGCCAAAACTGAAACTAGGGAAGTTCGAAGGTAACCTCAATAATTGGAAAACCGACTAAAACCGAAAAATTTTCAGACAGACGCTAACTACCCCATCGCGTACGAATCGTTGGTTCGCGGATCATCTCAATAAGCCATTGGAGGGCAATAGAAAAGTTAAAAGGACTAACAAACGAAAACGATGTAGACAGCTTAAGATCTCTTATCGATTGCTTTTCGTAACATCTAGCTGCCTTGCAAAACTTAGAATACCTTGTAAAACAATGGGACGATATGTTGTTTTACCAATTATTTGACCGTCTCGATCCAAATACGGCTACATGATTCGAACGCGAATGCGGTAAAATTTCACCATTCTCGAAGAATTCCTAAGAAAACAAAGTCTTGCTGTAGATGCGCTTTTCTATGCCAACCAAGCGAAGGGAAAAACCGACCCTTAAAATATCTCAATTCCGTAGAACACGAAACCGAGTTAACAAGGCAAACCAGATTAACTGCCCCTTTTGTAAAAAGAATGGTTATCTTATCTACAACTGTCTAGATTTTCTGAACAAGACTCCTGATGAAAGGGTCAGTACAGTAAAGTACAAAAGGTGGTGTACCACCTGTCTCGGGAAAACACAATTTTACTCAATGCTCTTCTCTAACGAAATGTAAAATATGTCAGCTCACCACTCTCTTTTGTACTTCAGAAGTAAAATCGAACTCTAACTCTGCTAAAAGCAACTCACAACAGGACCTCAATAATCAATCTTTACTTCGGTCGTATTTACTAATTTAACTCCAGTCAAGCATACCGTCCTCTTATCTTGCGCTGAAATCGATGTTCAAGACGCGTTCGGTGGTTGCCAAAGGGCTAGAATTGTCAATAGCGCAGGTCAAGCAATTTTATAATCAATTCATTTCGAAATAAGTTGTGTGTCACTCTTATCATTTCGATCAAAGGGCTAGGAGAAATGACTTCATGCTCATCTAATTCTGTTATCTACACTATCAGTCCTGAAACATCAAAAAACCCTTCCTTTACGCTAGACTTTGACGTTTTATCCAAAATTTGCCAATATATGCCTAGTGCTCTGAGGAATAATTTTTCGAATTCTCCCATCTTAATCTCGCTGATTCAAGATCTCGTGGCCCAAAACACTTGCTTTGGTTTTATTATCTCCGGTCCTGTAAGTAACAATTACGCTAAGTCAATTCATTCACTCCACGTTTCCTTCGACTATTCCTTAGATACTTCGATAAAAAGTCTTTGGGAGCTAAATAACATTTCGTGTGCCTCAAAATTTTCACCACAGAAGCCGAAAATTCATTTGTCGACCCTCATACTCGGGATCAAATTGGTCGTTATATAGTCTTTTTATCTTTCCGAAACTCAACCTTTCCTACTTTCAAAAATTCCCGTGAAATCGCAATTTACAACTCTGGAACGTGTTATCGGAAAACATATGCAGCAAATCTCCATCAGTATTATCTCTCACATTGCAAAACTTCTTATAAAATTCCAGGCACACGAGATTGTATTCACTGCCAATAGAAAACAGATGTACCGCCAAATTGTTATCAACAAAATCCACTGTAATTAGCGCGCGTTTTTGACCCCCTCGGTTTCTTGTCACCGTCTATATATCTATTTCATTATACGAATCCTCTGATTTTTTTAAATCTCCAATTGGATCAGCCTCCTGCCCAAGAATTCGCCTCAAAGTGGTCTCAATATAAAACAGAACTTCATCATCTCGTCTCGTCTTTATCGATACCTCGGTGAAAATTTCTTCGAAATCATAACGTCCTGCTAAATGCACGGTTTCCGGACGCAGACAAGAAATTTCACAATCAAGGTGTCCTTTGTATGTGCAAGATATCAGATACCCCCTTGAAGAAAATCTCTATACCCCGCCTGGAACTTTGCGCTCCTATGTTATAAGCTGACTTATTGCATTACGTATTGAATACTCACCAAGAACATATTTACATTTGAAAAATATCTTTGATCCATTCGTCTCCACATAGATGAACCACTTTCGTAGCTAACAGGGTGGGTCATATCCAGGAGAAAATCCCTTCTTCTAATTGGTTCCACTTACCCTCAATCGAAAATTCTGTTGATTGCTCCTCAAGGGGCTCTACCCGTCCTAGCTTTTAAACCATCTTACATGGCGGGCGAGACCGCATATCCTTTCCACTGCTAGGAATATTTTCGTTTCGAATGTCCCTAATTGGGAAAATAAAGCTTTTCAAACTTCAGTGGAGGCTCGCAAATTTGCCCTAACTACTTTCGCCTACCAAAATATATTTACTGTTCTGATTGATCGTTTCTCCTCAATTAAAAAAATAATTCGAGTAACGGCATCCATTTTAAGATTTATCCATTGCCAGAATTGCCAATTAAATGAGTTCTTTGAAACTGAAACCCATCACACCCTTCTGATATTAATCAAGTAGGTTTAACGTATACCGTTCCCAGGTGAACTTAAAATTCTGCAAAAGAATCTTAGAAAGCTTTCTCGACCATAACGGTATCCTACGAGTCGGTGGTCGGTTAAGAAACACACTCTTCTCTAGGGTTTAAACAAAAATACCCTATTTTTTGCAAAGGTTCACAAAGACTCACTACCTCCTTAATTCTATACACCCATGATAAATATTTAAACCCCGGATTGCAAACCACATTGTGTCTGCTAGCTCAGAATGATTGGACAACATCTATAAAATGCACTATAGGAAAAGCATTATCCTCCTGCTTCCGATGCTTTCGCCCAAACCTTTCTCGTCTCAACCCCTAATGGGAGATTTGACGACTCTTAGATTAAATCAGATCAAACCCTTTCCAAAGGCAAGTATCGATTTCGAAGGCCCTTTTTGTGTCACCATGGGGAAGAATCGAGGTGCCAAAACTCTGAAATCTCACATTTGCCTTTGTGCCTTTGTGTGCGGAAGGTTAAGGAAGGTTAAGGAGATGTCCGTTAGTTAACATGTTGAGATCGTAAGAATCAGAGCTAATTGGTGCGAATTAAGAACACGCTGTATGGATACAAGCACTTTATTGAATTCTTCATACTTGAGAATTTGGTCCCCACTACTCGCACCAAGTGACCTTTGACAGATTTAATACCTGTTTTGAAAATACCACCAAAATTTGGAGCAGACGGGGGGTTAAAATGCCACTTAATATTTTCTTTGTTACAAATCGATTTCCGGAAATTTGTTTCGACGCACCGACGAAGTTAGTTCCGCAGTCCGTATAGATCATTAGCAGAAAATTCTGTGGCTAACTCCAGGCGAATAGCTTTGGTAGTTGAAGACAAAAAGGCAAATGTGAGATTTTAGAGTTTTGGTACCTCGAGTCTTCCCCATGGTGGTGAGTCTGTGTGAAGCTTTCCAAAAAATAAGCTATTTTTATTTAAACCGTAGAGAAGAGTGTGTTAACCGACCACCGACTCGTAGGATACCGTTGTGGTCGAGAAAGGAAGTTAGCTTTCCAAGATTCTTTGGCAGAATTTTAAGTTCACTTGGGAACGGGATACGTTGAACTTACTTGATTAATACCAGAAGGGCGTGATGATTTCAGGCTTTTTTAACCTATAAACCTTTAGAGGCTCTTGTTATAGGAATAATTTGTATTTCCTTATAAACAAATAATAATAATATTTCTCGTTTTTTTTGCAGCTGAAGCAGATGCTGCCGCCTATAGAGCTACTGGGCGCTCCGATCCAGAGAGCAAGCCTTCCCATTTGGTCGATGTTATCGGTAAGCTTATTACCGAACTGAGCAAGATGTTCGAAGGCGGGTTCTCCGGATTTTTTAAAAGCGCCAGGGAGAACGACGAAGAAGACGACAAAAACATCTTAGAAGAGGGCGAGAACGACACCGCAAGGGCCAACGGAGGTTTGTAGGGGGCGAGTTGGCACGCTTTAATACGTGTTCGCATTTTCTCTGTTCTCGCTTTGTAGTTTGTAGTAAATTGTGTTTGCGAAGATAGGGGTGCGGATATATTTAATTAATTGACGCTTGTGTCGTCAGTATCGAAACAAAATCTGAAAAAAACGTTTAAGATAGTGCAGAAAAATCTAAGCTTGCTTTGTCAACGGTTCAACTCAAATTTGGTTCATCGTCAGGGCTAAAAATTATTATGAAAATCATTTTACAAAAAATTTTTAGAGGAATTATTACAATTCTTAACAAACATACTTGGTTAACAATAATAACAATTTTGGAAGTAAAATCTTTGACTACCAGGGGCTCTGGATTATTTTTGACACGAACATTGCTTATTTCAAGACGAAATTTACATTATCACTCAAAACATAAATTGGGTTTTCAAAACGTCAGATTTGGACCTAAAATCTTACTATCTATGTTAGCGGTTTATAGTCAGAGATATCCACTGAAAGGAGAAGAATTAACAAAAACTTACAGACAAAAGTATTAAAATCATCTATTTAATTTTTTTTTCTGATCTTTCTGAAATGTCAAGTTTCCCGGTTTGGTCGCAAGGGTGTAGAACCTTAATGCTATCCTTCGATGGGGACAAATGATTAGCAAAAGTTGACTTTGTTACTATTACATCGGTATTGTTGTGTTTTGAGAACTGATCTTTGGGAGCTTGACTGATATTCGGGAATTTCTTGTTTTACCTATCTTTTGTTTAATTCTTCACAATATTTTGTTGTGATGTTGTGTGCATTCCTCCTTCAAAAAACTTTTAAAACATTGCTCTAAACAATTGTTTTAAGAACAAGTATTAGAAATCTTTCAAGCAAGCTGAGATTTTTTGTCCACTTTATATTGTGTATATTATAAAAACCACCAAAATTTAGGTTGGTGTTGTTAATTAATTATTGATGCACCTTTATCATTTTCACATCACCTAAGAGGCATATCCATATGCGCTCTTTGCCATCATCACCAACATTCAGTCACTTCATTTACATCGACATAAAAAATACGAAACAATAATACGAATTTGCGCGCAAGTATATTCATTTGTTCCACCAACTGTCCGCCCAGACTGGTTGACCCGAACAACCGTTATTTAAAAAGTAGCCTCCACAATGAAATAAGTATAGAACGTTTATGACATAAACTGTGAAAACGTTTTAAAGGTTCGGATTTACGCGAATTCGTTCCGCTGCGTACGATGATTAAAAATTAATGAAGTAAGTAGCCTGTTTTATTGCGATCTTCACACTGATATTATGTCGCTTTGTTCAACAAACTAGGACCTTCTAAGTTTAGTACTGTAAAACTTATTCCCTGCATGAAATGACCTAAAACGTAAATCGAACTTTTATTTAATGTCAATTTCAAAGACTTTTTTTCCAATTTCGTATCTGAATGTCTGCAAGTAATTCGATATACAAAGTGTCCGAAATAAGGTTCCCTGCGCTCGTAACTCAGAAACTACGAAAGATATAAAAAACAAAATAAAAAAGTTGCACAGTTAGCTTTCTGAGATTATTTTGCAGAATTTTAAGTTCACCTGGCAACGGGATACTTGATTAATACCAGAAAGGCGTGATGCGTTTCAGTTTCAAAGAGATCATTTAATTGGCGATTCTCAGGGGTGCGAATATTATATATATATATATATATATATATATATATATATATATATATATATATATATATATATATATATATATATATATATATATATATATATATATATATATATATATATATATATATATATAAAATTGTACTTTATTTTGGTTCTCCAGAATATTCAAAATAAATTCAAAATGAAAAATGACAAAAAATCGGCAAAATTTTTTCAATTTAACTTTTTAACATTCGTAGTTTCTTAGTTAAAGTGGTAGGGAACTTTATTTCGAACACCTTGTACTTTTTTTAGTGGCGTTCAACGATTAAGCTAAATAATTCTGATGGCAGTTTTGCTAAAAAAATCATTTGAATATACTTTTTGCAAAATAATCTCTTAATAATCTCGAATTTGCATAACCTGTGCCGGACTTCGTGGGTATTGAGGGATTACGAGAGGTAACCATTACCATTAACATTCAACCGATAAATTTGAAAAATCTGACTCAGTGAAAGATCGAACTAGCTTTAATTCAAATACATAATTCCGATAGCGACAGATCTCCATTTGCGTTGAGATTACTAGCTGATTGATTGGTAATCTATGCTTTAATCGAGGGATAGTCTAAAAGCCGGCAAGACATAATATGACGCAAAGCTGCGTGTATGTGGGGGGTAGTTTTGTGACACACGAAAGATAACGTCTTAACCACTTTTGCAGCACAGCCAAGGGGCAAAAAGAAAAAGAAGAAGCAAAAACTGCTGTCTATGCTTAAGATTTTCGGTTTGGGTGCTATCATCTATAAAAAACTGTGTTTTCTCTTGAAACTGTTTCACGCCGCCCTTCAGTTTAAACTCTACCTAATAGCCCTGGGTGGTTTGTTGCTTAATGTCGCCAAGTTCTGGATCAGCTTGAAGAAGGACCACGCACCCCAGAAAGTCATATACTACGAGCACGCGCAGCACCAACATCACTACGGACACGAAGACGACGGTCATTCGATTTGGGGTCGCGCGCTTCGCGAAGATGACGTCCAAAATAGTACTGATTTGGAAGCCGATCACACACCGTATTTGTATTTCGACTTTTTTGGTAACGCATAACGTTGTTGTTTACTTTTAAACTCCGAAATGTGCTTTGTTCTTGGGAAGAACTTTCGACGAATTTGATGCTATTCAAGAATCAGAAAATTTCTGAATAATTAGATTTGACTATAAGCTATTATCTTGATTCGGGTTTAAAGGCCGTCGTCGATTGGAATTACTTCCTAACGTTTCGCTAGCACGAGTGGCAAGCTTCTTCAGAGGTCCTTCCATCTCCGATGTTGGACGTAGACTAAACCAGTCTACCAGTCTACGTCCAACATCGGAGATGGAAGGACCTCTGAAGAATCTCGCCACTCGTGCTAGCGAAACGTTAGGAAGTAATTCCAATCGACGACGGCCTTTAAACCCGAATCAAGATAATAGCTTATCAACGGGCCGCGAAAGCCTTAACCAATTTACCAGATTTGACTATATTCAATTGGTTTTAGTCCAAAAGTTGATAGCAAAACCTATGCAGGGTTTAAAAGCAGGAAATTAAAAATTTTGAAACTGTTCTATAGAATGTACCATGTGTGTGTCTATAGCCCCATTTTTCCTTGACGTAGATATCATATTTTCCATTCACATGTCTGTAAGATCGATCTATGCAGTGTGCATGGCATAAAGCGAATCCTTGCATGTAGGGGCTAATTCGGGGGGTAAATATGTTTGTAGATTTAGTCTTTGTTAAAAAAAAATCTTCAAGGATTGGGCAAACTTGACCAGACTTGCATCAATTAAAGTATTGAGTATTCTTCCATCAAACTTCTTTAGGTGCCTTCTTAATTTTTCGTAGAAGTTTCCACATACTATTTACAAATCGTCTGCAGTAGGAAGCATCGATTCTTGATAAATCGAACTTGCTGACGTTTCGCCAATCATCCGGATGACTTCTTCTGAAACTGAGTTCTAATTGAGTTCTAATTGAGTTCTGAGGATGATTGGCGAAACGTCAGGAACTTCGAATTATCAGCAACCGACGCAGTAGCAATCCAGAAGATTTTCAATTGGGGGTGCCTTCTTCATTACTCTTGCTGTCCTCAATAGGGCATATGTGTCTAATCCTGTCCACTCACTTATATTTTTAAGCCATGAAGATTTTCGTCTTCCTCTTCGGTCTTCTTTCGGTCCATAAATAGTCTCAAAATTTAATATTTTTCTCCTCTGCATATATGTTCTAGATAACTAGTTTAGCGTGGTTTCACATGTTAACATTCTCATTTGTCATTCGTTTTGGCTATGGGATCTTTAAAAGTCTGCAGAAAACTTACATTTTAAATGCTTTCCCATTGTCCAAGATTCCGTGCCATGTAAGAGAATAAAATAAATATATGTTTTCACAAAACGGTATCCAGCAATAAGAGTCGTAAAAAAAATATCTAATACATACACATACATAAAAAAATGCGATCTTCAATTTTTTCATACTGCGAATCAATTTGGTTTTCTGTTAAAATATGCTGATTCTTTGGTGTACTCTAGCTTAAGTGGCCTACAAAATCCCTTAAAATTATGGTTTGCATACGAAGATGAATACACGTCGTTGCAAATAAAGTAACGCAGTGAAAACTTTATGTGCTGAACATTTGTTTATAAGGTGACTGGCCACTATCGGGTTTACATTTCCACCTCTCGAAGAGCTTCATGTCGAATATTTAAATACTGCTGTCTACAAACAAACTAAAATCAAATGATCAACCAAACTAAATTTTTCCGAAATTTCTGGTAGACCAGGGTTTTTCAGATAAGAAAAAATTAATCTTACTACATTTTGCCTGTAGCCTGTTGATGCCGCAGACGATCTTATTATATTTTTCCTTTAGTCAGTAGAGGCAGCAGTACCCGAACTCTCTAATGAATATAAATGCTGAAAAGTTCTTTATGACTTATTGTAAATAACTTTTAGATAAAAAATAAGAACCCCTGTAACTTTACATTGATTTATAGATCAGAGATATACTCAGTTGTTCACATTAAGGGTAATGGTTCTCATCGTAATAGAATAAAGGATTTTTCCAAAATGTTGGCAGAGTGCAACATCTTAAATGGCAACTTTGTAGTTTTGCAATCTCTCTAAGCTGATTTTGCAAATAAATAAGTATATTTTTTCAATGTTGAAATGTAAGTATAGGTTAATTATTTGTTTTCTAAATGTTGCATGAAGTAATTCTCAAAAAATGTTGTTGCATTTGTATTCTTTAAAGAGATCACCCAATGGCTACATACACAAGGCGGATTATTTTTTCTAGCCTTAAAAA